GTGATCCACCCACCTTGGCCTCCCAAAGTGTTGGGATTACAGGCGTGAGCCACCCAGCCCAGCCAAAGCCAATCTTTCTCCTAAGCATTTTTTTTTTTTACAGCATTCAGAAAGGCTATCATATAAGTTTGTAACTGCATTTTTCACTCAATAAGGAAATGATTAGTAATGTGTCGAGAGACTACATTAATATCTATACAATATGCCATTCGTGGCATAGATCTACACAATTTACTTAACCATTCTTCAATGACTTTCAGGTTATTTCCAATTTTTTGTTAGGGAGAAACTAATTAAAACAGAATTTGGAGGACAGAGAGGGAGGTGGGATCAAGAAGGAACCATGCCAGGCACGGTGGCTCACGCCTGTAATCTCAGCACTTTGGGAGGCCAAGGCAGGCGGATCATGAGTTCAAGAGATAGAGACCTTCCTGGCCAACATGGTGAAACCCCATCTCTACTAAAAATACAAAAATTAGCTGGGCCTGGTGGTGCACGCCTGTAGTCCCAGCTATTCAGGAAGCTGGGGCAGGCAAATTGCTTGAATCTGGGAGGTGGAGGTTGCAGTGAGCCAAGATCGTGCCACTGCACTCCAGCCTGGTGACAGAGCGAGACTACATCTCAAAAAAAAAAAAAAAAAGGTGATATCTGATTTGGTCCTTGAAGGGAGAGTAGGAGTAGCTGTTTGCTGAGTTGCGTTGAAAAGGGTGGAGCTGGGCATTGAGAAAAGTATTCTTTCTTCATTAACCTGTGGGCAGGGGGAAAGGTGATTCTAGGGGGCTGGGAAACCATTATAATTGTCCAGAAGTTAAGGCAGACTGAACCAGGGCAGTGGAGGGGAAAGGGGACAAATTTAAGTGGAATCTTTGAGCCTGATTAGAAAGAATAGTCCAGGCATGCTGAGCACATCTGCAATCCCAACACTTTGGAAGGCAGAGGCATAAGGATTGCTTGAGGCCAGGAGTTCAAGACCCTGTCGTTATAAAAACATTAAAAACAAAAAATTAGGCCAGGCGCGGTGGCTCACACCTGTAATCCTAGCACTTGGGGAGACTGAGGCGGGCAGATTGCCTGAGCTCAGGAGTTCGAGAGTACCCTGGGCAACATGGTGAAACTCCGACTCTGCTAAAAAACAAACAAACAAACAAAAAAAAAACCCCCCAGAAATTAGCTGGTTGTAGTGGCGCGTGCCTGTAATCCCAGCTACTCCGGAGGCTGAGGCAGGAGAATTGCTTGAACCTGGGAGGTTGCAGTGAGTCGAGATTGCACCACTGCACTCCAGCCTGGGCAACAGAGCAAGACTCTGTCAATAAATAAATAAATAGAAAATTAGCCGAGTGTGATGGTATGCCCATGTAGCCCTAGCTACTTGGGAGGCCGAGGTGGAGGATCACTTGAGCCCAGGAGTTTGAGGCTGCAGTGAACTATGATCAAAGCACTGCACCCCAGCCTGGGTGAGAGAGCAAAACCCTGTCTCTTAAAAGAAAGGATGGGTAGTTGCCTGGAGGAGGGGTGGGAAGGAAGATAGCAAGGGAGGTGTTTATCTTCATTTTGGAAAGCCTGAATAAAGGTCTTGAGAGGGCTTTTTTCCTCCCACAGGGAGCACCCACTAGGGCCCCCAATACCATCTGCTGGCCTGCCATATCACTCAGACCAGGTGACTTTCTGTCTTTGAGCCCCTTCCTGGCAACCAAGCCTAAAAATACCCACCACCTGCCTCTGCCCCCCCACCCACCAGCCTGGGGCCTCTGTAAGTGGAGACCCAAGAGTGCCCCTAAGCAGAAACCAAGACCCTGAAGTGAAAGCCCTGGAGGGGAAGTGTAAGGTAGATAGTGTCTGGTCTCTAAGTGTTCTGTACTAGCATTGCAGATGTGGTGGGTAATTGGCACAAGGACTTCCTCCCTAAGGGGTTAGTGTGTAGGGAGGGAGAGCTGGGAAGTCATAAATGAGTCATTACAACGCAATTGATAAGCCTTGCTCTTGTTAGGACAGCCCCAGGCATGTCCTACCTGGGGCTGGGGAGGAATTGTTCTACAAGATTTTGCTATTACGGGATCTCTGGTCATGTTATACCTACTTTTTGGGGCATGTTCTCTATGCCAGACCCTGTACTAAGTATTGGGATTACATCAGAAAAGAAAACGGAGGCCGGGCGCGGTGGCTCAAGCCTGTAATCCCAGCACTTTGGGAGGCCGAGGCGGGTGGATCACGAGGTCAGGAGATCGAGACTATCCTGGCTAACATGGTGAAACCCCGTCTCTACTAAAAATACAAAAAAAAAAAAACTAGCTGGGTGTGGTGGCAGGCGCCTGTAGTCTCAGCTACTTGGGAGGCTGAGGCGGGAGAATGGCGTGAACCCGGGAGGCGGAGCTTGCAGTGAGCCGAGATCACGCCACTGCACTCCAGCCTGGGAGACACAGCGAGACTCCGTCTCAAAAAAAAAAAAAAAAAAAAGAAAACGGATACTTGGGAGGCACAGGCGAGAGAATCGCTTGAACCCAGGAGGTTGAGGCTGCAGTGAGCCGAAACTGAGCCACTGCATTCCAGCCTAGGTGACAGAGTGAGACTCCATCTCAAACAACAACAATAAAAAGCCAAAAAGTATGAAAATCTTTGTCCTCAGAATTTATTGGCCAGGCAAGCGGTGGCTCACACCCATAATCTCAGCACTTTGAGTGGTCAAGACGGGTGATCGCTTTGAGCCCAGGAGTTCAAGATCAGCCCTGGCAACATAGCGAAAACCCATCTCTACAAAAAAATACAAAAATTAGCCGGGTATGGTGGCACATGCCTATTATCCCAGCTAATCAGGAGGCTGAGGTGGGAGGATCACTTGAGCCTGAGTGGCGGAGATTACAGTAACCTGAGATTGTGCTACTGCACTCCAGCCTGGGTGACAGAGTGAGACTGTCTCAAAAACAAAAACAAAAACAAAAAAACAAAAACCAAAAATCGTATGTTCTACTAGAAGAAGACACACAGGGAAATAGGCAAACTATATAATATGATAGAAATGAAGTGACAGGGAAAGTAGGGCATGGTAACGGGAAATACAGAGTGCATGCGAGGGGTCTGGTAGTTTTACTAGGGTGCTCAGGGCAGGCCTCACTGAATGGAGGACATTTGAGCAAGCCCTTGAAGAAGGTGATGGAGCAATCATTCTGGTGTCTGGGGAAACAGCGATCACAGCAGAGGGAACAGCTAGTGCAGGGGGCTCGGGGCTGAGTGAGCTCAGCTTGTTCTAGGAACAGCACGGGGTCAGTGTGGAAGAAAAGGGTAAGAGATGAAATGAGGTCAGGAATACCCAGGAGAGTAGAATGTCAGATTAAGCATTTGTAAGTACTTGTAAGGCTTTTACTTAAAGCGAAATAGAGAGCCAACGGACGGTTTTGAGCAAAAAAGTGCCATGTTTTGACTTAGATTTTATTTCTTTTTTTTTTTTTTTTTGAGACGGAGTCTCGCTCTGTCGCCCAGGCTGGAGTGCAGTGGCCAGATCTCAACTCACTACAAGCTCCGCTTCCCGGGTTTACGCCATTCTCCTGCCTCAGCCTCCCGAGTAGCTGGGACTACAGGCGCCCGCCACCTCGCCCGGCTGGTTTTTTGTACTTTTTAGTAGAGACGGGGTTTCACCGGGTTAGCCAGGATGGTCTCGATCTCCTGACCTCGTGATCCGCCCGTCTCGGCCTCCCAAAGTGCTGGGATTACAGGCTTGAGCCACCGCGCCCGGCCAGATTTTATTTCATTTTTTGAGACAGATTCTCATTTTGTCACCCAGGTTGGAGTGCAGTGGCATGATCTTGGCTCACCACAACCCAGCCTCCACCTCCCAGGTTCAAGCAGTTGTCATGCCTCAACCTCCCGAGTAGCTGGGACTACAGGCATGCACCACTACACCCAGCTAATTTTTGTATTTTTAGCAGAGATGAGGTTTCACCATGTTGGCCAAGCTGGTCTCTAACTCCTGGACTTAAATGATCCACCCGACCTCACAAAGTGCTGGGATTACAGGCGTGAGCCACCGTGCCTGGCAGATTTTAAAAGAATCTCCCTCAGCCCTGAATTGATAGGGTGGATCAGAGGGCCGGGTTGGAACAAGGGAGATGGGTTAGCAGAACTTTGCAATAATCCTGTGCAGATACTGGACCAGGGTGGTAGCACTGGAGGTGGAGTGGCAGACGTCAGAGTCTAGATCTATTTTGCAGGTAGAGCCAGCAAAAGCGGGGCATTCACAGCTGACTCTGAGTTCTGGCCTGGGGACTGGAAGGATGGAATTGTCAACAGCTGATGAAGGCAAGGCTGACAGGGAGCAGGGTTGTGTGTGTGGAAGTGCAGTTGGCTCAGCTGCAGACACGTTGACTTTGAGATGCCTGCTGGACCTCCAAGAAGGAAGTGTTGAGCAGACAGTTCAGGGGAGGAGTCTGGAGACACAAATACATTTGGGGATCTTGAGCACATCAATGCCAGAACATAATTGCATTTTATCTGGTTCAATTAACCTAGGTGATGTCTGGACCTAGCAAACGGAAATGGGCTAGGCGGCTTGAACCCTGTCTGAAGACTTTTGCTAGTTCGGCAGCCTAGAGCCAGATGGGGCAAGAAAGAATCGCTGCTAAGTGGGGTGGGAAGAAAAAGCCTCTTTCAGTGCTTTGCAATTTCATCTGGCCTAATTGCACACAACACTCGGTCCACGTTCATTCCACAATTCCACACGCATCCTTCACTCAACAAATAGCCATTGTATTTTGTTTCATCTTCAAAACAGGCTCAAATGGAGGAAATTAGGGTTAAGAGAAGTGAAGCACCAGCGAGGGTCAGGGACAGAGATCGCAGCCCAGAAAGTTCTCGAGGTTGGGGGCCAGTCGTAGTTGGTTTTGTGAGTGGCAGGAGGATGCGGGTCGCGCCCCAACCCGCGGGGCGGCCGGCTGGGGTTCGGGGCGCGGCCCCTTTAAGGCCCAGGCAGTGATCTCAGCCGCGTTCGCCGCCCCGCCCTCCCCGGCGGCGAGCCCAGTGCGCATGCGCGCCGCGGCAGCACACCACTGGGCCCGGGACGCGCCGGCGGTGGCGGAGAGTCCAGGGCTGGGGCGCCTACCGCCCGCCCCGCTCGCAGAGCCCGGCCGCCGCGCGTCGTCCGCACACGCCGCCACCGCCATGGGCTCCTGAGGTATCCTGTCTGGCCGGTCTCGCCCGGGAGCCCCAAGGGGGAACTGAGACTCCCAAGCGCGGGGGGCTGCTTGTTTCGGAGAGGCCCGCGCGAGGGACGCCCGGCTTCGGCCGCCGGCGCCCGGGCGGGGAGGGCACTAAGGAGGCCGGCGCGGCCGCGGAGGGAGGGGGCATCTGTCTCCCAACCCGTGCCTCCCCTCCTCCCCGCAAGGTCGCCCGTGGGTGTGCCCGCTCCCTTTCCACGCCAACGTGGCGGGGGCAGCGCCTGGAGTGTAATCGGACCTGCCCGGGGGGTGGCCCCGGGAGAGGGAGGCGGATGGACAGGCGCTTTGCAAGAGGGATTGTGTGCTCCTGGGTGGGTGTGCTGGCGCCTGGCACAGCCGAGTGAGTGGGGGAGGCGTCCGTGACCTGTGCGGGTGGCAGTGACCTGGGAGGGTGGTCGGCGGGGGGCCTTCGGGGCTGCGTCGTGAGTGGAGGGTGTACACGCCCGGCACACAGATCCTCAGGTTTGGAAGGCGATCTACTGGGACCTGGGGCTCGAAAGATGTTTGCCTCCAACTGGGACCAACCAAAGACTGGTTTTGGGTGTCTGTATCCTTCCCGTGGATTGTACATTTCCTTCCCGGGCACACCCTTGGTACCTCGCTTGGATCCACTTACCTCCAGTGCTGGGTGGCTCCAGGCCAAAGCAAGGCAGTTAGGCTGGGGGTTGGGCATGGATTCCCAATACATATCCCCTCTGGGGGTGTTGTATAAGGCCAGATATTTTACTCCTCCCTCCCTTCCAGGGCATTTTGGGGCAAAGCAGGTGTTTGCATGCCTGATACCTGTGGTGAGGTGAAGGCCATGTATTATTTATCTGACTGCTGGTGCTTTTGTAAGGAAAGCAGCAGCAATCTGTGCCCTGGAGGCCCTGCGCTGCAGAGTCAGCCAGGCAAACAAGCTCACCTGCACCTGCAGAGGCAGCGCAGGTCTCAGAGGTGTGACTTCGTTGACACGTTATGCCTACAGTGTCCTTTGCATCTCCCTATTCAGCTTCCTTGGTAGGGTCCCTAGGCTCTGCACCTCGGAACCTTGTCTAGGGTGCTGTGCGTATCAGAGTTGGGACCTGGGACGCTGGGGTGAGAGGACCCCAGCAGCCAGGTATGTGTGCGCACCTGGAATTGATGCCCAAGCTATCAAGGAGCTCTCAAGCGTGGGGGAATCAGACTTGGAAACAGGTGATTACAGTGATGTGAAAAATACCAAACAAAGGAGTAGAAGGAGTACAGGGGCAGGTTTAGTGCCCAGGAAGGAGGAACGTGGCCACAGGAGACTCTCTCATAAGGAGACAGACGGTTGTGCTGAAGCCTGAAGGATGACTGGCGTTCATCTGAGGCTTTTGTGCTTTCCACGTATATTTTCCTGTGTTAATTTGCACAGCAGCTGTGTGAGTAAGGAACGGTTGTTGTCCCTATTTGTGGATGTGGTAAACTGAGGCCCAGAGGGAATTCATGACGCTCTTCTCCATGATCCGTGGCAAGCCTGGATGGAATCATCCTTGAACCAGGAACTCTCTCTTGCTGCCAGATCTTATCTTGCAACTTACTGAGCATCTATGTGCCAGGCACTGTGCTGGGGCATAGCGGTGTGATGGTCAGTGGGACCTGGTGCCTGCCTTCTAGGGGCTCCCAGTCTGCTGGGAAGATGGACACTGATTTAGTGACCCCAGTCCAGATACGAGGCTCCAGTAGCTAGTGTGGGTGGAGAAGGCGCTGTGAATTACCCCAAAAGCCTTCGTGCAGTGGATTCTGGATGTCTTATTTGTTGCACCCACAGTGGTGGTGGGTTATGCAAGGAGCCCCTTCTGAATTTCTCCAACCAAGTGGAAAGAAGAGCTTCAAGGCAGAAGGGTGAGTGAGCCACTTGTCCTAGTTCATTCCTGTTGGCCGAGTTCTGTGAGCTGGGGCTTCTGTCCGGAGGTCGTTTTCTCCCTCTCTGTCTTAGAGGTTTTGCTCCTGGTCTCTGGCTGGCCTGCCCAGTCTCTCACCCCGAGAAGGGCTCAGTGCTATTTCCAGTCCCTGCTGTGCTCATTTCTCTCTGTAAATTCCCTGGAGTGGAAACAGCCCCGGCAAGGCAGGGTACAGCCTTTTATTGTTTTGAAACCGAGTCACAGCTCTGGGCCTGTAGACTGCGGATTTGGTGTGGGAGTTCTGGGAGGCCAATAGCTGGGCCCCTGGGAGAGCTCTGTGTGGGGTCTGCCCCAGGTGCTGCAGCCCCAGGGAGTAAGCACTCACGGAGGACCATGCTGCCCTGCACTGTGCTGGGAGCAGCCCTCTAAAAGGTGGTTGGCAGAGGGAGCCCGATGTGTAACAAATATGTGCAAGACAGTGCCCTACTTGTGGTGGAAACAGAGGGCCCTAAAGGGGCCCAGAGGACAATAGGAACAACAGTCCGTTTATTGAGCACTTACTGTGTGCCAGGCACAGTTCAAAGCGCTTTCATGAATTACTGTATTTAATTTTCCTACCACCCAATGAGATGGGGGCCGTCACCGTCTGCATTTTGTAGGGGAGGCAGCAGAGGGTGGAACAGCTGAGTTTTGAACGAGTAGGTCTGACCTCAGAGCCCATGCTCCTCCCCTGTAACCCTGGGGTGCTGGAAGTCGTCTTGGCCCTGAAGGATAAGGGGTGCTCGACCTGTGAAGGAGAAGGAGGACATTCCAGTTAGAGGGAACTCCGGGCAGATGTGGAGGTCTGAGCTGCCTCACCTCTCAGACGCGGAGGATTGAACTACTTGTGGCTGTGTTGGGTCTGTGTCCTGAAGACACAGACTCTTTGGAGGCCCCGCCAAGGAGTTTGAACTCGATCCTGATGTAGTCAACAGGGAGGCCTTGAAAGTTTCTGGAAGGTTGTGACATGCTCAGCCACGTGTTACGGGGCGGTATTACCATCTCTTCTCATCCCTCCTTCATTCCTGCAGAGAACTTCTGGAAGACCAGGCGTCCGTCCCGTTGGCTTTCCTACAGCCCCTGGCATCACTGTTAGACCCCGATGCCTTTCTCTTGTCTTCTAGCAGCTTCTGGTCTTGAAGACCCTGTGTGACCCAGGGCAGGCTCTGGAGCCCACTGTTGTAATGGTGTCTGCCCTACTGCTGACCTCTTGCCTGCTGGGATCTGGCTCCTTTGAGCTGGAACTTTTTTTGTTTGAGATGGAGCCTCTCTGTGTTGCCCAGGTTGGAGTGCAGTGGTGCTATCATAGCTTGCTGCAGCTTCTACCTCCTGGGCCCAGGAGATCCTCCCACCTTGGCCTTCTAAAGTGCTGAGATTATAGGTGTGAACCACCATGCTTGGTCAGCTGGAACTTTTTTTTTTTTTTTTTTAAAGACAGAGTCTTAGGCTGGGTGTGGTGGCTCACACCTGTAATCCCGGCACTTTGGGAGGCCAAGGTGGGCGGATTGCCTGAGGTCAGGATTTTGAGAACCAGCCTGGCCAACACAGTGAAACCCTGTCTTTACTAAAACAATTAGTCAGGCATGGTGGCACACGCCTATAGTCCCAGCTATTTGGGAGGTTAAGGCAGGAGAATCACTTGAACCTGGGAGGCGGAGGTTGCAGTGAGCTAAGATGACACCACTACACTCCAGCCTGGTGGGTGACAGAGCGAGACTCTGTCTTTTAAAAAAAAGAAAAGAAATGGTCCCTAGGAGCATGAGAGGAGGAGGGAGAGAGGGAGGTAATGCGCTGAGCAGTCCTGGTGACCTGGAGAGAGAATTGGGAGATGCCGTTTAAATCTGTGGTTGTTAGCCTTGTGGCCTTGGGCAAGATGCTTACCAGGTTTCAAAATAGGGGACAAATGGTACACTTTCCTTCATCTGTAAGATGGGAGTAATAACAGTGTGGCCGTCATGTGGCTGGCATGACCAGTGTCTGCATGGAGTTCATGTGTACCTGGCACGCAGGACATGCTTTTATTATGACCTTATAGGCCCATTCATTTATTTGAGAAGGAGGCATCGCAGGTCTGTGTGCCAGGCTGTGGGGAGCCTTCCTTAGGAGCCAAGTGCAGCTGGGTAGAGAGAAATCAGACACACAAGCCATTATAATTGTCCTGGGGGCTCTGAGGGAACATTAGGCCATTGTCACCTGGGCGGGCACTTGTCTGGTGAGGTGATGTGATGTGTGTTAAGGTGGAGGAAGAAGTGGGTTCCAGGCAGAAAGAAGAGTGCATGCAAAGCAGAGATCTGAGTTCACGTCTATGAAGTTGTTTGACACTGAGACTCAGCACCTAGTAGACCTGAAATAAATGTTTGCTGAATGTGATCTTCTCAGCCTCAGAGAGGAGAGAAACAGGAAGAAGTAGAGTGGGAGGGGGCCACGGAGAGATGAATTAAAGGGTCACCCAATTTGTAGATTTCTCATTCCCTCCCCATCGCCTCCACCTCTGTGGAAAAGCACGTGGTGCAGGTACTAACAATGCGTCTAAGTCCACCAGAATTCTTTTTTTTTTTTTCAGGCAGGGTCTCCCTCTGTCTCCCAGGCTGGAGTGCAATGGCGAGATCTTGGCTCACTGCAACCTCCGCCTTCTGGGCAATTCTCGTGCCTCAGCCTCCCAAGTAGCGGGGATTGCAGGCACCCACCATCACGCCTGGCTAATTTTTGTATTTTTAGTGGAGATGGGGTTTCACCATGTTAGCCAAGCTGGTCTCGAACTCCTGACCTTGTGATCCACCTACCTTGGCCTCCCAAAGTAATGGGATTACAGGCGTGAACCACCGTGCCCGGCCTTCGCCAGCATTCTTACCAGGCACTCATTCCCAAACTGCTTGTCCTCAGGACTGGAGAGGATAAATCTAAATGCAGAGGCAGCTGAGAACTGGAATTAGGCCGGACACTCAGATAGCATTTGTTCACGTGTCTGTTTGCTGCTGTTTTAGCGTGGCTGAAGCCCTATGCCCGGGTACGGCGTAGAAGGATGGTGCGTGGCTTCTGGTTGGTAACTTTTCCAGTCTTAGGTTAATCAT